GAGGGCATCAAAGACACTCCTTTCAGGATGCAATAAAGATGGCATCAGTTAATCCAGCATTTCAATTACAAGCTGTCGTTCAGTGTGACTCTCTGGGGCTCAGACTGCAGTGCAGATACACTCAGACACTGGGGCAGGGTGCAGTGCAAAGGCTTTGTATCCCAGAAATGCATCAGAAACCTTTTTTTCTGTTTCAAGATGTTAACGAAATCCTCAGATCCACAATGAGGTTAGATGTGCAGCGCAGACTTCACTTTTTCCAGCTTTATGAAATCTTAATATTCCATTTTAGCAAAGGATATCGCATTGTTTGAGCTGTCAAAAAGGGCAAGTTTGCCAATTTATCCTCCTGTTATCCAGGGTTGAACCACCGTAATCAAACCTGCTCGATCTAACGCAATTAACAATCAATTACCTTAATTCCACACCATAGGTTCACACAAGTCAATACAACAGCACTGCAGCTGATACTGTAACAACTACTGTGAGCCATTATATGTTCAGTTTGCGTTAGGATTGTCAGGGGGGTGTTGATTTAGCTCAGTTATATTAAGGCTTTGACAGCAGGAACAGCACAGGTATAATTAATACCATTAATTATGGCTGCGCTGCATTTAGGTGTGTCCCACTTCCAGCTCCCTCATAGCATGCACACTGCCTCACTGTCATGGTTTACTGGGACACTTAAATAGAACAGAGCTATCGGTGATATTACAAGTACCACCTGTGTTTTCTGTGTCATGTACACAAAACAAGAATGTTCGGACTGATGTCATCAAAAGTGTGACAGTCTGTTTGGACAGCAGCTATCATACGTTAATCAGAAAAATGCTTTTAATCGAAATTTATGCCATTAAACCACATGATAATTTAGTTGTGCTTTAATTTTCTTTATGCAGAGTCCGGTTTTAATTGGTATATTTTTATGATATTAAAAAGCATAAAATGACTTGAGAAAAAGAACAAAAGTCAAAATAAAATTAGAGTACCAAAAGTAGTAGTCCTTGATATGCAGAATAATGTAACTCATATTATTCAGATTGTAATTATTGATGCTTTAACATATCACTTCACTGTTATTGCTGGCAAGAGTGGAGCTAATTTTACTCTATGCATTTCTAAATTGCCTCTAATATGTCATCATTTATATGTTGAATATTTTTGCATAGAGTCTGCAAAGTAACTAGTAACTAAAAATGGGGGAAAGGTACAAAATCTGCCTCATAAAGTTAGTGGAGCATATAATGTCGGGTAAGAGATCATACATGACCTTTCGTTATATTTACACAAAATCTGCTTTACTACTGTCGACATCTCCCAAAACCTTGATGTCCTGAAGTTCAAAGCCCATTCTCCTTTATTTTCCTCTGCTCTGGTACTCTCCTACAAATCCTTTTCACTCCTTCTACCTCTGCCCTTTTGAACAATTCTTATGTGGGATTACCACCAGGAGATCACAGTGTGTCACAGCATCTTCCTTGTAGGCAACACAACGCAGAAGCCCACTGGTTACAGCAGTAGAAAATGGATATTTGAAATTAAAACAAAAGCCTCACTTCAGTCAAGTGCAAGCACCTGAATATTATACTTAAGGAAGTGTATTTATTCTCCACCACCACAGCCACTTAGGCTGCCACTAGACGGATTATTTCAGGTGTTAGAACAAGAGGGTCAAGCAAATAAAAAACCCTGACAACAGTCTACTATCCAAGTCCACTCACTTTAGAAGGACTGATATTCAGAGACAAATAAAGCCAAACTTAAAAGTAGTGTTTCTTGATTCTGCATGTTTTGATTGACATGAAATCAATAAATTGCTGGAGGAAAACAACAACAGATTCATCTCCATGACGACCGAGTGGATCCATCTATCCAGTGATGGACCGTGTGATATGACTGAAGGCTCTGGAAAAAGCCACACCTTTAGTCGGTATTGTGTTATTAAGCATCATAAATAATTTTGCATGTAAATAAAGTCTATTTATAAAGCATGCTTCTAGATGAGGCTCCACAAAGAGCTTCTCCATTTAAATTTTAATGAAAAACTGGTTTAAGAAAATAACAGTGCTGTTGTGGAGCTGATTATCGGTTCAGTATTTTTGGCATTCGGCACAAGAATGCTTTTTAAATCAAACTGGAGTTGAAATGATTAGGCTAGTCAACTGAACGATTAGTTGATTGTCAGAAATAAACGTCAACTATTCTGATTACTGACTTTTGAAGCAAAACCAAACATTCTCCATTTATAGCTTCCAATTGAGATGATTTGCTGCTTTTCTTTGTTTGGAATGAATAAAATATTTCAGCCTTGGGATCATTCATCAAACGTTAGACTTTCTCACAATACGCTCTCATTTTATAGCCCATACGATAAACTAATTAACTGAAAACTGAATTTGCATGAAAATAGTCTTTTGTTGTTGTCTTTATTCAGCCGGCACCATACAGACTATCAAACAGATTGTCCCACCAGCAGCAGAGGGGTGAGGAAGGGCCTCGTGTGCAGTGTTGAGGGCACCCAGTACAAAGTAAAGCATCACTGTAATCACATTACATCTGTTTGTAATGCAGTAATGCATTACATTACAATTCAGTAATCATGTTACTGATGTAGGAAATCGTACAATGGAGGATTTGTTATGTTAGTCAATATGGCAAATTTTATGTCCTGGAAGGCGATGTTAGAGAGGACAGCAATGCGACTCGACAAGGACATTGAGAGGGCAGAAAATATGGCGCTTGTCTCCTCCTAGTTTAACCAATCAGCATCAAGACTTCCGTAGAAGTTTTGTCGGTGCCACTCAGAAATATCTACCCCGGAGGAGGAAAATGGCCCTGAAAAAGGTTGGAACAACCGCACAGGTTTGGGCTGCCCTAAAACGACCTGCAAGTTCCTGTAGTGGAGAAAGTCCTATTAAACAACTTTCCACTGCAGAAACTCAGGGCAGGCGTGAGGCCCCATAATCGACCCTTTAAGCTTTGCTGTTTCCATTGTGCTGTAGGATCCGACAGCTTTAAACACGATGTTAAATCTGCTACGACAACAAATAGCAGTTAGTGGATGTAACTCCAGTTGTAGGAGGAAATGGAACAATGGTGGTTTGTTATGTTAGCTTATTTGATCAACTTTACGTTAAAGACACGAGGAGACTGCTAATCGACGGGGGACACTGAGAGGGCAGAAAAAATGATATTCATTCTTGTCGTCTTCTCCAATGTTCTAACCAATGAGTGTTGAGACTCTCACAGCAGCAAACTTAAATCAACCCTGCCAACCTTTCCATTTTCATTGTGTTGTAAGATTCAACAGCTTCAGCTGTGACAGTACTCTGGATGGAGACTACCGGTAAAAGTTGACCTTGGACAGTTCAGGTTTGTGGCTTTCTGAATGACTTTCATTATTACCCTTTTCAAAAACCCCTTCAGTGCGAGAAACAGCAACAACCTCAAGGCTAGCAACCTCCTACGCTGAACATTTCAAGTTTTCTCAAAGGTTTGGCTCTTGCAATAAAGGCTATATGTTGCTGAATTTGTCATTTTAATGGCAGTGCACACCACCCTAGCTGCAAATGTTTCAACAAAACAATTCCCCTATTTTTGTTTTTGAGGGGACACCATTGCTGCATCCTGGGCTCAGCATCACCCAATACGACTGTGATTGGTTTAAAAAATACAAACAGAGCATTTTTGCACTACAACTGAATGATAATAAGGTGCAACCAGACAGTTCTGCATAGTGCTGAGAGAAAGATTACTGCAACGATATCTCTAAGTGCGCCAAAACATCAACATCAGTAGTTACTGTATGAAACTCCAATTATATGACCACATCCATCCATCCATCCATTATCTACACACCGCTTAATCCTCAACAGGGTCTCTGGAGCCTATCCCAGCTGACTCAGGGCGACACAAGACAGACGAACAAGCACACTCACATTCAGACCTACAGACATTTTCGAATAACAAATTAGCCACACCATGGTGGGAGAACCCGGAGAAAACATGCAAACTCCATGCAGAAACATCCCAGGCATACTAACCGGGATGCAAAGCGGGGACCTTGTAGCTGTAAAGCGACGGTGCTAACCATCGAGCCATTGTGCAGCCCTATATGAGCACATACGAAATAGAAAAATAGAGGTTATTTATGTTAGCCCATATACAATGTTTGAAAGAACACTGCACCTTGACATACAAGAAAGAGGAAAAAAATGAGCAGGAAAATTGGCACTTGTTGAACACAATCAAACCAAGACTCACACAACAGTGTTTCAAGGCCGCTCAGAAGTACCTACTGCCGAGTAGGTACTTACTGTAGGTACTCCTCGTCCCTGAAAGATCTCATGGGGTTGTTCTTGCGGCTGGAACATGTACAAAGGTTCAGGCTGCTTTAAAATAGGCCTACAGCTTCTTACAGTAGAAAACGGGTTATTGAATCACACCTCTCAATACTGCCAGTGTCGCAGCAGAACTTAACATTTTCAGCATTCGTACGGCAACCGATCACCTTGGACTTTTTCCACAATTCTCTGACATTTTTATAGATCAAACGATTTGTATTTGATTGAGAAATTAATCCGCATGAAAACTAATCCTTTGCAGCTTTAATTCGGCCTGCCCCACATACTGAAGGCTACCAGACAAACTGTCCCACCTGAAAAATGGGAGTTCAGGAGTGAGGAAGGGGGTCACGTGACATTTGAATGTGCAGCTTGTAAACATCAACAGCACACACGGGACAAAAGAAAAATGCAAATAACTGTGTGGGGTGAAACAAAAGGTGTCCCGCAGCAGCAGCAGCAGCAGAACCAACCCTGAATACTATCATCAAATCTCTCCCCCTCTCTCTCTCTCTCTCTCTCTCAGCAGAAGCAGCATCCCATAGGCTAATCAGGTGGTAGTTTCAATCCAGCCTCAGCATCCTCCTCCTCCTCCTCCTCCTCCCAGCAGAGGAAAGCCCGACAGCCGGTGTGTGCGAGGTGTTTGCGTCCGCTACCATGGTGGAAATTACGGATATCGTGTGCCTTCTCGTCCCGCTGGCGATGCTGGCCGGCTCTACCTTCCAGACCGACGTGAAGAGCGTCAAGGAGGCGGAAAAAACGGGGAATTTCATGGAAGACGAGCAGTGGCTGTCCACCATTTCACAGTACAGCCGCAAGATCAAGCACTGGAATCGCTTCAGAGATGTAAGTGTTGATTGAGAGATGCGCGGTAATGCGGTATGAGGTGCGCTGATGGAGGGGAAAAACACGCAGGAACAGTAATAGTAGTTATTTCACACTTTCTTTTCTTTCCTTTTTTGTTTTTTTTGCACGGTAATGCGCACAAACTTGGTGCGGAGGTTCGAATCCCGCAGGATGCTTTAGAAACATACTTTAGATGAAATGTTTCCAAATAAAAGATCCAGAAAATATGCATGTAAAGTGTGTTTTCAGGTCGCCAAAACATTTGTTTAGGTCATTTAAGTCAAATAAAATAGGAAATGTGAGGGGTTGTGTTTACAGTGTTGACTACTTATGGGTTGTATAATATGAGTGAAATGTGTAGTTTGGAGTCTTTTCTGGAACTTCTTCCTAAAAAAAATTCAAGACACCCAGTGAAATTTAATCACAAAACTTCCAATCTAAGCTCATGAATGCCAGTCTAAGATAAAGCTACAGACCACACTCTATAGGATGCTCCCACTTTTACTGTATGGACCCTTTTGCTAATGATATGCAATTCATGTTGTAGCCCCGCTTGCACAACAGCGTAGACCTATTCCATCATTCTGTCCTTAATATAGGTTACCTCAGATGTGTTTCCAGACGTGTCTCGGGAGATTTCACAAACAAGAGAATTAAGCAATTAGAGCAGAGCGGCAGTGATTGATTGATGTGCATATTCACCCACTGAACAGACTGAACTGGGTTGCAGGGATTGATTAAAGCCTGCAGGCTCTGCATAGTGATATATTGCTGTGTCTGTGAATGTATGGATGTAGTTTTGCCTCCAGCTCTGTGAAATGATTACTAATGATCCCAACAGGATTTGGACAGTAGTGCAGTTGGATTATGTTCCATATGACTCCTGTTAATTGGGTTTTAATTGATCCTGCAGCGCAAGATAGGTATCATGATTGGATGTGAAATGTGAGCTTCAGGTTGAGCATCTTATGTGAGAACAATGGCATATCTCGTCAGGGGGGAGGGAGAAGATGAGCCTCTTCTAAATAATAACCTTCCCAGGGAGAGATTGTGGTGTCATTTTCAATCCACATTCACACGGCTCTTTAAAACATGGGTCATGGACATCCCAGAAGAAAAAGTGAATGCGTGTGAAAATTGGCAGCTGCCCCTCCTGGGGACGGATTAGTTTGACTGTGATTACTTAAAGAGTATGTCCTCTGGAACTGTACTTAGAGAAGTAATGAAATTGTGGGCATGGAAAGATTAAGTCAGAATTATTGTGGGATTATAACTCACTGGATGCTGCTCTATATTTACACAGCTTTGATCCAAAATGTTAGTTACAGAAGCAATGTGCTTCTGAATTCAGTATATCATGATTGGCTGTGCAAAAAAAAAACAAAAAACCCTCCTTCTTGGAGTGAATCAAAACACAAACACATCCAGAATATATAGAACATCCCAAGATATAAACAGTTTACTTAAGGGTTTGCCATTTAATATGAAGATGTCACTTGCTCTGCTTTGCCTTTTTCCTCAATTTAACATCAAAGCTGCTGTGCAACACAAACGTCCCCACAGTTACACACTATCTCTTTTATGATCGTCACTCCCAAGGGTGACTGTCTCGACATTGGTGTGTGTGTGTGTGTGCGATCGTGTCGTGGAAGTGCACAAATGTGATTTTGTCGGGGCTGCTGCGTGTGTTTGTGAGTGCGTTAAAGAGTGGTGGTGTCTCTGGTGATGATGATGATGACAGGAGAAACATCAGAGATGCGAACCGCTGAACCTCCCGAGGGAATCGCCAATAGAAACCGCTTTGATTTCAGCTTGCTGCCGTAGCAACAGCAGTCTCTGTGTTGTGGTGTTGAGATGGAGCATGTATCACTGGGAGTTTGATGACTCTATCCCCTCACCAGTCCTGCTTCGGGGTGGAGGAAACATCCTGTATTATGTTTTTTTTTTTTTTTCCTCCATATCATTAAATCTGTCAACGTCTACAGCTGAAATACTGTTTGTGCAACCAACTAGAAGTCTTTGCAATATACCTAATGAGAGTTGCTTTCCTTTTAATGTAATGAACATTTCATTTGTGTTGCTTCATGATGAGCTAAAAAAAAAAAACACAAAAGCAACTAGAAAAGGAACAGCTCAGTCTCTGGGTTTGTTTTTTGTTTGTTTGATATATAAATGGTTGCCAATGACACAGTTATAGGTATTCAGATTACACAAATTGATGTTGACTTGTGCAGTCCTCCGAGAGCTGGATGCTGAATATTAATCCAACACTGGAAAGCAATAATCAAAGCTGCACAACATGAAAGACGAGCTCTTTCACTCTCCCTTTTTGCACGTGCGCAAACACACACAGATGCACACACATAAACACACACAATAGACTGCAGAAAGTACGCTGTAAATATTTCATATTTATTCTTCTCTGGAATGTAAAAGCAGAATCAGGATAAGAGGTTTTTTCGCTTCCAATAAAATGGAAAGAAAAAAAAAAAAGCTCCCCACACTTCAATTCAATCTATTTCACAGGAAGACAAGGCGATTAGATTTAACAGTTACAGTCAACAAATAATAGAATGGGATACCTTCAATCCTTTAATCTGACAGGTGCACTCAACATTTCATTCCACTAATGCACCAAATCCTAAAAAAAAAAAAAAAACACACACATACAAACAGGGGAACAGGAAAGACAATCACGGTAGATTTATTACTTTACCCCATAGGTTGCCATCTTTGGTGTCATTTGCTGAGTTTTATGAGGAATTAGTCCCTTTTAGTTCGACCCTCTGAATCCCAAGCAGTGTCTGGGCGTTCTCCACGTTTTCACTCGCTGTGGGCTCATTTTTCATCGCAATATGAAGTCCTGCACCTCTGTGGAAACAGCACAGTTATGGCCAGAAGAAAGAAGAAAGGGAGAGAACTCAAAATGTGTAAGAAAATTAGAATGTCATAAATATTACCAAAAAAAAAAGAAAAAATACAACAAAATCTGAACAATTCTTGAATCAACATGTACAACATTTCTTGATAACAGGTGTTATCAATACTGGAAAAAAGGCGTACTCTAGATATTTTACTACTTATTTGTTTCCCTGTCTGATCTGAGTAAACACAACCTGCAGTTCGGATCAGTTTAGCCAAAAAGTCTCGAAATTTTTGTCACATAATTGTCACAGCCAAGTCACTGATGGTTTGTTAGTTGTGCAGGAGAGGACTTTTTTTTTTTTTTTTTTTAACAAAGCCTTGGTAGAGCAAACACGTAAAAGAGACATGCAGCGTTAAATGATTTTGATGTGGTGTAGTTATTTTAAGCCGTGATGAGGTTAAGGAACAGATTAGTACGTCAAGAACTGTTGAAAAATCTTTCTGTTTTCATAGTTTCTATGATAAATGGTATAATTTTGGCAATTCTTTTGAAGACAACATGCTTTTAAAACCCACCGGTGGATTTTGCGGTTCAGAGGGTTAAATAACGATTAGTTTAAAAATAGGGTACATTTATTGATGTCTTCACATTGTTCTATTGAGCGTCGTCATGAAAATTGAGGCTACTAGCATTTAAAGATGCAACTGAAAAAAAGAAGATTGTAACACCCCTACAAGATTCAAATCAAATTGGAATGAGATAGCATAATGATGGAGGCAAGTAGCTGGAAAATATATATATAAGAAAAACATTTTGTTAATGATAATACACACTCATTTCCATTTTAAGCACCATTAAAAGAGTAACACTGAATAAATTCTTTGCAACACACAGAAATTCAGAGACTCGGTTATAGGGACAACCGAGGCACTGTCTGTTTTCATTTCGGTACGAGATGAAATGACTGGAGACGACTGTATTTTTATGCATAGCAGATCCAATTTGGTGTGTCTACTAAAGGCAAATCAACAGTAAATTCAATTTTTTGCTCAACTTCCCCTGTAAAAATGATACTGTCCACGAAATCACCAAGCCATGAAATTGTTCGGAAGCGTTATTCCTGTTGATCAGCCCAGATACGTGCCTAAAAATGGATGATCATTAGGACACAGCAAGCAGCAAGTTCATGCAGGAGGAGGCTCTTTATTGTTGGCATCCATCATGCATTCCGGCATAAACACGGTGGAAAGGGCTCAGTGTTTATGAGGTGATTTTAGTTTCATATATTTCTTGTTTTCTTCTATCTTGCACTGTCTGTGCCTGGTAAGTCCTTATCTTAGAAACGCACGCCTCTCCAGTCAGGCAGCTCTGGACCACCCAGTACCAATCCTGCCTGCACCTGCCATCCATTCAGTTCATTTTTAATGAACAGAAAACACTCTGTGCACAAAAACATCAGATCCCTTGTCGATGTCAGTGGATTAAAAATGCAGAATGGTGGAAGCGCTTGCGGTAGGTTCTGACAGTTCTTATTAAGATGTGATGTTATGTTCTTTTTGCTCCACGCTGGCACTCTACAGGGAACATTTTGACAGGAGGTTTACCTTGCCTACCTATACTCTTGCCTGCCTGATTTCAGCCTCTCATGTGCTTTAACTGGCAACAGTCCAGCAGAATTTGAACTCCCTTCAGTGCTCCTTTTTTATCATTTCACTATGACATACAAAAATAATTGTGGATAATGGCATCTGTAACACCGGAGCCAAATACTCCATTAAAGACCATCCAGACAAACAGTAAATTATCACCATGAGCCCTGCGCTCCGTCTAGCTTTCCTATCGCACAGCCGCTCTCTGATGTTAGAATGGACTGCTACTGATGCATTAATGCTTTGGATGATGATAACAGCTTATCAGAAGTCCATTAGTCTATCTATTCATGCTTTGTTCAGGCATGAGCCGCTCCTTATCGTTCTCCAGATTTTGTGTGAGGCTGCAAACATCCAGAGCTCTTTGGCAATGCAGATGGAGTGCATCTTTTTCAACTGTTCGGGGAGAGGTGGTCTGGTTGTCCGGGGTTTGCACACGGACTACTGGTGCGCTGTGGGGTGTCCTGGCCGGCTGCCAGAGGCCT